AGAGAGAAAGAGAGAGAGAGAGAATCTCAGGTAGGCTCCACACTCAGCACAGAGCCCAATGTGGGGCTTGATCTCAAGACCATGAGATCATGATCTGAGTCTAAATCAAGAATTGGACGCTTAACTGATTGAGCCATGCAGGTGCCCTGAATCTACATACCCTTCTGAATTATCCTGATAGCTCTCTCCCTAATCATATTATTACAATCTGCATCGATTTCACTTTTTGCTTTGGTTTGGCTGGCTTGGTTTATTTGAAAGAAGTAGGTATAAAATGCATCCTCCTTCTCTCCCCACAACCCCCCTCCAAAAACTATTTTCCTGAGGAACTTAATTCCCCAAACTCATTAAAGTAGCAGATGTCCAAAGCCTTTTAGGAATTGATAGCCTTTTCTTACTGTTGATGAATAAAATGGCAGGCTGGTACAGAAGGCAATGTTCCCATATACATTTCTCTGGGAAACAGAAAAAATGACACGAAAAGAAGCCTGTCTTGATAATGACCCTTACAACCTGAAACTTTCCCACAGCCATACAGATGCCTTCACTCTGACCTTGTGCATTTTTTTAGCAAGTATTCATGGAGCACATATTGTGTGTCAAAGTCCCTCCACGTTAGGAGATGGAGTCTCAGGGAAAGACAATGACTAGCCCAGGGTCTATACCCAGCAAACGGTAGACCTCAGACACAATTAGAGTAAACTAACTCATTTAATTTGAATTCCCTGGGCTCTTGAAAGCTGTTTGCTTTAGAGCAAAGAGCCCATGCAAAACTGGTCGATGGATCTGAAGGGAGACATACACTTTAAAATAATAAACAAGAAACCATTTATAAGGAAAGAAAAATTGAAGGGCAGAAAGTAATGAATCACCATTGCAAGTCGGCACAAAAAGAAAAATTAGTTCATAAAAATGCAGTTGGATAAATAATAGGTTATTTCATCATGTAAATATGTCCCCAAAATAACTTTATTGAAACGAAAACATCTATCGCAGCCCAAACTATTCATCACGCTAACGTATATCTAGAATCCTAACAAATTTATGAAAATGTTATATTCTGTAATCTTCCCGATCCAATGCAAATAAATAGTTGTGCTTCCACTGTCTCATTACAGAATGATTAATCACAGCTGCCAAAAGCAGCCGAGAAGCTAATTTTTGATTTCTCACATTGTGGGTGGCATTTGGGGGGAGTCCCTAAGGACCGTTATCTCTGAGTATGGGACTTTCTGGAATACCTGTCTCATTCCTCTGCCTCCCGCCATCAGGGCCAACCTGGGGAAGAATCATCATTTTCACTTTGAAGCTGAGTACAGCTTTTTCCAGCTCAAGAAATTCAAGAGCTCCTTGTTGAGCGAGTCAGGAGAGGAAGGAAGGAAACTTATCATTCACTGTGGTCATTTAATTTTATCATCATAACACCCGCCCACTATTATTGCTGCCAGGTGAGGACATTGAAGCCCAAATCTCCCCCAGATTGATGAGGTTTTGGGGTGATGGTGGGGATCCAGAGCCGAGAGGCAAGAAAGAATTCCCTTTATTTAAAAATTTAAAAAAAAAATTTTTTTTAATTTTTAAAAAAATTTCTGAGAGAGAGAGAGACAGCGTGAGCAGGGGAGAGTCAGAGAGAGAGGGAGATACAGAATTTGAAACAGACTCCAGGCTCTGAGCTGGCTGTCAGCACAGAGCCCACCACGGGGTTTGAACTCAGGAACCGCGAGATCATGACCTGAGCCGAAGTCGGACGCTTAACCTACTGAGCCACCCAGGCGCCCCAAGAAAAAATTCTTGAAGACTCATCGGTGCAAAAAAAGTGATTTTACTGAAGCAAGGGGACAGGATGATGGGCAGGAAGAGCTGCCCCATGAGGAGAGACTGGTTATACACTATGGAGTTGGGGCAGATAGAGTCTGGGGGAAGCTTTCAGTGAGATTTTCATATGCTAAAAAAGACTCACAGGATCCTGGAGGCCTAGCTATTGTTGAGCTAAGTTTATTTTTCCCTCAAGCAAAACATTAGCATTAAGACAGTAGGGAGCTCCTGAAGAAACATTTTACTCTGCCTGCCTCAAGTGTTTGTCAATGGGCTGCAGGTTATAAGGAAAGTTAGTTCTATCTGCCATTTCCTCTGCCTTTGTTTCCCACCTCACAAATCACTAGAGAGCTGCCTAGCAGTCAGGTGACCTGCTTCCGGGTTCACCCAGGACTTTAGGCATCACAAATCCCCGGTCCCAGAAACCCCCTCCCATGTTGCCAGGTGGGACGAGCGGTCACCATACCCAGTGATTCCAATGTGGGTTGGTTCCTCTAGAAACCTTTTGTTCTTTGCATTTGTACATTAAACATCCCCCAAGAAGTCGCAGGGGCCCCATGTTGGTGGCCAAAACCCTTTGGGCTTGGAGACAGAGGACAGGGCTTGAATCCCAGACCCAGACCCCATGCTGTCTTGGGTATGGCTACTAAATCTCTGGCACAAATTGGGGTGGAAGAAGATGGAAAAAAATGGAGAAAATGGCCTCTACACCTCAGCTCTCCCTGCCCTCTTTCTCCCGGCCCCGTCCAGCCCATCCTGGATCGAGGACTGGAGACCATCATAAAACCTCTCCTTCCTCTGTTTAAAACCCTATTCAGTTACCTGTGTAATTAGAAAAAAAATTTTTTTTTTAACTTTTACTTTAGAAACGCTGTTCCAGGTTTTAAAGAGTTTATTTTGGGAAGGATGCTCCTTCCTGGAGGGGAAAAAAAAGTTTCTGGCAGAACCTGTGAATTTTGTAACTGCAATCTCTTTCAAAGGCAAGAAGGCAGGCTTTTCAAAGGACAGTTACTAAGGAGACAATTGTATTTAAATTATCAGCTCACAATAGACTCGGCAAAGATATTGATTGGAAGTGAGAGGGTAAAATTATTTTCTTCAGTCTGGGGGAAAAACTGAGGGTCTGGCTGGAGGCTCCCCCTTGCTGAAGTGGAGAGAGACAGTGATTGTACTGGTTTTCATTGTTTAATCGCAGAGCCTAAGAACTGAAAAAAGATGCTTGCCTTTTGTCTCCCTAATAGCCTCTCACTCTGGTTAGCTGGAACTTAGAGGAACAAGCACAGACAGAAGGGAAATGCGTTGTGTTCACTGAGAAACTCGTGGTTCAAAGGGAAGTTTTCCTAACAACCCTGAAGCCACAAGAGAAACTAGTAATAATATAAACACGCTTCCTAATGTCCACATACTAAAGATTCATTAAGCAATTCCCGACATTAGGACATTCAAGCCTCACAGTAACCCAGTGAGGTTGATTATTATTGTTATTATTATTAATTTCCATGTTACAGATAGGGAAACTGGAGAGGATTAAAGAAACTGCTCAAGGTCTCACAAAGGCACCGGGCATAGCTGAGATCTAAATCCAGGCATCTAGCCTAGAATCCACACCCCCACCTCTGCATCAAGCTGCCTCTCCAAGATTCAGAGCCCTCATTGGCTTAAAAACTCGATCCTTTATGGACAAACAACAGAAAAAGTGTCTTTGGTTAAAGGTGTCCAATGGAGCAGGAAAGATAAGTGTTACTAAAGCCCGGAGAGGAAAATGGAATTTGATGAAGACGTAACTGATAGCATTCAGGTACTAGTGATGCGATTAAGACATTGCCTAGGTGTGATTTGTCTCCTTCATAGGACAGGAATATCCTTCTTATCCACTTTTGACTTAGCGGTTGGTTAATAGCAGAGAAATGGACCATCTGGTTGTGTGAAACACTTGTGGTTTACAAGTTTACAAGTACCCTCCACATCTAGTTGATCCTCTTAACAACCCTTTGGGAGAAGAAGCCGGGGTGTCATTCTCCCTGTTTTATGGAGGAGGAAAGAGATGAGTTTTGATGCAGCCCCAAACCTAGAGGGTCAGCGACTTCTAAATCCCAGCCTTCCTGTTCCTTCCATTTGCTCAGGCTACCTGTTGAGAAAGATCTTCATTTTCTCACTCCAGGAGGCTCCACCGTCACCAACCTCCTCCTTAAATCCTCCTCGGATCCCTGCCCGGGGCTCTGCTCACCCCCTACTCCACACTTAACCTGACGGTGGTAACTGTGCTCACTCACATTTCCAATCTGAGCCTCTGGGGCAATCACTTCTTTCCCCCCCTTTCTCTGCCCCAAGCCCAGCTGTGTGCCTGGCACCTAGAAAATGCCCAGTAAATGTTTGTCAAATAAATGATTCAGGGAATGATCATTCTGGAGTCTGGTGACTTCATATGATTTGAGTTATTGCATTTTTTCCCTCCCCTCTCTAGAAAGAAAAGCTCCCAGACGACCCCTCAGCTGTGTTCAGATATTGTAAATAATTGATCATAAAGATGAAACGCCCTAGCTGGACAGAGACCAGGGAACCTGTCAATATCGTGGGAATAAATCTCCATTCGCAGGGGCCCAGAGCCGGAGCTGGCTTCCCGAGGCCATTAAGCTATCACTGCTGCTCAGGCATTAGTTGGAATAAAGTGTTTGTGTTTGTTTGTTATCATTTCTTAGTAAAACTAATTAAGGAACTAATTGATTGTTTTGTTGTTCTACTAATTAACTCCATATGGTGCCCATTTCCATGGAGATAGACTATGAGTTATGGGAAGGACTCTGATTTAATGTGTCGTTTCTGGGTTTAGGGACAATCCTTTAGAATTAAGTATCCTTTCCAATCTCGTTTCCTTTCATTGCTGCAGCCATGTTCTTGGCCTTGCCAGCTCCTCGAGGATGGGGTGATGGGGCCTGCCAGGGCCAGGCAGGGGAGCTCTGGAGGACTGAAGAACACAAGGCTGGAGCAGGGAGTGGAGACAGCCCTAGGCTCAGATAATAAGTACTGTTGCTGAGACTTCCAGTTTAAGCACCTACATGTACCAGGCATCATGCTGAACACATGTGCGTACAAACCACAGACCCTGCCAATGACCAGCACGCACATTAGTGGTCCCATAAAGACACTGCATGGTCAGAGTCACTTACCTAAGTTCATCTAGCTAATTCATGTGTTCGTTCGTTTATTCAACCAATCTGTGTTCAGCACCCTCAATAGATGAGGCACTGTTCGAGCTTCTGGAAGTAGCTCTGAATCGGATTCACTCCTTCCCCTGGTGAAATATATTTTCTAGTAGGGAAAACAGACAAGAAATAAAAAAGCAAACAAGACTATTTTAGATAATGACGAAGGCAAGAAAGGGGGAAAGAAGTGATTGCCCCAGAGGCTCAGATTGGAAAGGTGTTCCAAGAGCACCTGGGTGGCCCAGTTGGTTAAGTGTTCGACTTCAACTCAGGTTATGATCTCATGATCCATGGGTTTGAGCCCACGTTGGGCTTTGTGCTGACAGCTTGGAGCCTGGAGCCTGCTTTGGATTCTGTGTATCTCTCTCTTTCTCTCTCTATCCCTCCCCTGCTCACACTCTGTCTCTCTCTCTCTCTCTCTCAAAAATAAATAAGTCCAGGTAGTAAGAGAGTCATGGTGATGTCATTTTAAATCCATTGGGTAGGAAAGACTTCTATGAACAAGTGACATTTGAGCTGGAATCTGGATGGGAAGAAGAAAATAACCATGTGAATATCTCAGGTGAGACCCTTCTGGACAAAGAGAACAGCAAAGAAAATGCCAAGGCAGGAAAGAGCTTGCAGTGTCCCAGGAGTCACCTGAAGGCCAGGCAGAGTGAACCAGGGGGAGAAGGGAAGGAGAGGTAAGGTCAGAGAGGGCAGGTGACCAGGCCATAAGGCCATTAGATATCTCAGGAGAGTCTACGATTCAGTCCACCTGTCCCTAGAACTCATGTTCTCATAGCCTGTGCTGTCTTTGGGTATAAGCATGAGTTATTATGCACACGCATGCAGGGCACTCACTGAGCATCTTGACTGGAGGCTAGGATGCAGTGCTGATGGGTCCTTTGAGAATGACTTGCTCTGTGGCTCCTGACCATTGATCCACAGATTCTCAAGAATCAGAGAAATTAGTCTCAGGATACCTGGCTCAGGAATGAAAATGCCCTTTACCCAAAGTAAGGCCCTCAAGTATAGGTCAACCTTCCTTGAAGGTCTAAATCCTAGCGCAGGTTACTGTTCAGTAAATATTCACTCTCCTTCCCCTCTTATGGTGAATGGGTTATCCTTCCCCACCAGTTGATACTGGGCTGAGTCATGTGACTTGCTTTGGCCAATGGAATGCCAGCATATGTGACATGAGCAGAAGCTTTACATGTGGGTTGACTGGGCCTTGTGCTATGGTGACCAGTCACGAGACAGCTTCTTTGGTAGCTGCTGTCCTTCAGCCTAGTCCCCAAAACAAATCTATGGCCTAGAGCCAAGGCGAGCCAACCACCATTTTGAACAGACTTACTCAGAAAAACCTGGCCTTGATCAGCTAAACCAGTTAACCCACAGGCTGGTAAGTTTGAGAACAAATGCTTATTGTTATAAGCTACTGAGATTTAGGAATGTTTGTTACACAACGTCATTGTAGCAATAGCCGATTAGTATGCCTACTATGTGCAAGCTCTTGACTAGATGCTGGAACGCAGAAATAAATAGAGTTGAAGAATTGTATCTACCTTTGAGAAGCTGAGAATCTAATAAGGACTCTTGTTTAAAGTCATAATTATATTAACTCAATTCAGAAACACTAACAGTTTTACTCTGATTGCTACTCTGATTGGTAGTTACATAATCACAAATTAAAACAATTTTTTAACATTTATTTGTTTTGGAGAGACAGAAAAATACAGAGCAGAAGCAGGGGAAGGGCAGAGAGAGAGGGAGACACAGAATGTGAAGCAGGCTCCAGGCTCCAAACTGTTAGCACAGAGCCTGACACGGGGCTCAAACTCATGAACTGTGAGATCACGACCTCAGCCAAAGTCAGATGCTTAACTGACTGAGCCACTCAGATGCCCCCATAATCACAAATTTTAAAAGGACAAAATTACTGAAGAATAACTTAGCATACATAGGCTGTAGTGGGCTAATAAAGGGAAGTCACAGTATAGTCGAAGGATGCAGCCTTGGGAGCCAGATATATTGAGTTCAAGTCCTTTTTTTGTTGCTTAGTAGGTGGATGACTTCAGAAAAGAAATGGAAATTTTCTGGGCCCCGGTTTTTACGTCTCTGCAGTGGAGAAAATAATGCCCACTTCCTAATGAGATTGTCAGGGTTTTTAATGAAAATATATATAAAATGCCCAGCATGACGTCTATCAGGGGTGGTCCCTCAGACATGCCCCTTTTTGTTGTAAGTTCATTTTTTAATGTGTGCTCACATGTATGCATGAGTGGGGGCAGAGAGAGAGAAGGAGAGAGAGAGTCTCAAGCAGGCTCGGTGCTGTCAGTAGAAAGCCTGACGCAGGACTCCATCTTACAAACTGTAAGATCGTGACTTGAGCCAAAATCAAGAGTTGGATGCTTAACTGACTGAGCCACCTGGTCACCCCTAGTTGTAAGTTCTTAATAACTACTTAAGGAATGGGTTCTATATAAAATGGCATCTAGGTGTCCAAATTCTATTGTAAGCACTCTTCCACTTTGACATTTCCTATAAAGAAACTGTCTGCAAAGTTCTCCAGTGAAGAATCAAGCAAGCTATGTTAACAGAAAATCCAATAACCTCCAAAGCAAGGCTTCTGTGTCAAAGTTGAGTTCAAGAAGGGGAGGCCAAGAAGCTAGAAATAGCCTCTGTTTCCTCCACCTGGTCTGCCCCAAATAAAGGAAGGAGGAAATCCATCTGTTTCTCCCCCATCACAGACTGGAGTGTGAGCTGGGGGCCGGCTGACCCTCTGCCCTCAGACTTGACGCTTCCTCTCCCACACAGAGGGAGCTGACATGTGGAAAGTCATGGCCTTTCCATAAAGCGACTGTGAGGAAGGCCTCCAAAGGGAGGAGGGAGCACAGCTGGTGGTGCTTCCTCAGTGGGGAGAAGACTCTAGAGCAGAAGTTCCATCCTCCCTGAGCCCAAACTGGAATGAATACCAAGGGCTAGAAATGCATACTCTTGTTTCCTCCCCAAATTGACTTACCAGATGTTTGATGTGAGGGTCAAGAGGAAAAAGAAAGAAGAATGTGTTTACAGAGGCACAGAGAGCATTCAGCTTGCTGGAGGTGACAGCTCCACCCAATTTGGCCTTGACTTGGCAAATCATTCAGTTCTGGATGCCATGCCTTCAAGTGGACATTCATACCTACCATGGACAGAGGACCTCATTTTATATTTAACAAACCAAAGTCCAGAGAGCTCAAGGGACCATCTTGAGTTCATCCAGCTGGAAGTGACAGTGTCAGAATTTGAACCCATATCTCCCTGACTCCATAGCTTGATCCCTTGGAGCCTCCAAGCAATCATGGTGGTGGTTAGAAGCAGGTTGGTGTTTGACACACATGTGGGCACCCAGGCTTCATCTAGTTCCCTCTAGAAACTGGGCTTAGGAATACCAGAGTATCAGTCAGATAGCAAATATTATAGCATTCCTTCAATATGCCAGGCATCGTTCTAGACCCCAGGGAAGACAGTTGTGAATAAGGCAGACAGGAACTTGTTAGGTCAATAACAAGACTTGTCCATGTTATGCTTGGTTTCTAGTGGGGTGAAATAGCAAACAAGGAAAAAGGAGGGAGGAAAGGAGGAAGGGACAGAGGATGGTAAGGGAAGAAGGAAGGAAGGAAGGAAGGAAGCGAGGGAGGAAGAGAAAATTTCAGGTATCGATCCATGTTATAAAGAACATAATATCAATTCACAGAGAATTCCTGGGAGGCTGGTTTAGTGAGAGTCATTGGCAAAGGGATCACTAAAAAGTGCCATTTGAGTTAAAATCTGAAAGACGAGGTGACAACTAGACAGAGGACACAGAAAATGCAACGGTTATGAGACAGGAATAAAGTCAGTGGACATGTTCAAGCATTCAAGTAGACACTTGAATATAAAGGTTCAAATCTCATTGTAGAAGCTCAGGCTTAAAATATAAAATCAGACATAAAATCAAGAGTCTTTCAACATTCAAAAGACAGCATTTGATGAGATCATCCAGGGAGCAAGTGCAGCAAGTATGACGGGGCCCTGGGGTCCTCTGGCATTGAGAAGTCCTTGGAGCCAGAAAGATGCCTCCAGAGGTAGGGGTGGGGTGGCCAGGGAAGGCCAGGGAGGTACACAGAAGGCCATGGGAATTGGGTGCAAGAAAGGACATGCTCGAGAATTAGGAAGTGACCATGTTCAGTTCTGCAGAGAACCCAACACAGGGATGCCCAGAGCTGGCCTTGGCATTGGCAAGACTGGTCGTTTGTGACCTTGATAGGAGTAGGCTCAGAGAAGGAGGTGGGGTGATTGGAGTGGACTGAGGAGGGAAAAGAGCTGAGGAAGTGAAGAGTGCCAAGAAGACTTCCAAAGAAGTTTGTTTCAAATGCAGGCAGATAAACAGTGCAGAAAGCTGATGGGGATATAAAGGCATGCTCGTATGCCCGTGGGAGCAGCCCTGTACAGAGGAATTGGTGATATTGGATAAAGAAAGAGGAAGAATCTAGTGGGGTTCTTTGAGGGCACAGGAAGAAATAGGACCTCAGGCTTCCATGGCGGACTGATCTTTTCCGGAGCAGCAGAAGAATCCGAGACACTGTCCTTGCCCTGGGCAGGACCCGGCCTGCAGGTAACAGTCCTTGGTGCTTCCAAAGGGGCTGTGCCTTCTCTTTTGCTTATGTCCCTCCCTGCACCCAGCACCAGATTACATGGCCCTGTCACCACCCTGTGGTAAAGTGGGACCACCATCTCCTAGGGCACCTTGCCTGGGTCAAGTGTTTGCTTACAGTGTTTATAATGTTCTCAGCAACACCAAGATGTTCGCAAGCCTGTTTTAGTTCTGACAGGATATCTGACTTCAATCCCGTGTTGGCCATTCACTCTGCAAAGTCAACCCCTTCTGCCATCTAGGTCTCACTTTCTTCATCTACTAAATGAGAAGGAGCTAGGAAATTCTAGAAGGCCCCAGGGAATTCTAAGAGGGGGCAAACTAGCTATGTCTTGTGCCACATCAGATTCCAATAGTCATTGAGACTTTCTGAGAACTGGCAGTAGTTAGCACAGGAAGCAGGTTCCCACCCATTCCCCTCCCCAAGTTTGAGGTCAGCCTCCAGCTCACCTCAAATGCAGCTACTCTCCCAAATTTTCCCAAGTCCCCTCCCTGCCTTCTTTCCTCTGGTCCTTGTCTCTAACCTTTCCAATTGTTCATTGCCTCTGATATTGTGCGAAGCTCCAAGATAATTGTTGCAGGAGAAGCAATCAGCTCATCCTTTGACAAGTCATCAAGACAGACAGGCAAGCTGGGGTATTAGGTTGTCAATTTCCAGGCCCTTCCAAATGTTAGAACAATTTTGGTGAATTACAAGCAATAGAAAATCACTTTGGGTGCTCATTAGGGCAGGAGGCAGGAGCAATGATGAATGCTTGGAAGCAGAGACAGAAGTAGGCTTTCCTGGAGCCAAAAGCTCACCTTCCAGCATCTTCTGGGAATGGCTGACTTAACCCTCACTCTTCTGGAGAAAGCCCAAGCATCCCCCATTGTTTTGTGAATGGAGATTATTCCTCCTTGCCCTGGACAATTAATTCACTGTCCATTTATGGGGCACTCATGGTCTATGCTGGGTCTTTGGGATGAAGGAGACATACTCACTATTTGGTTGATCAGAACAAAAAGACACACATAGTAATTCCACAAGAGACAAAACAGACCAAGGACTGTAGGAGTAAGGAGGAAAGGGAGACTGATTCTAACCAGAAGAGGTGCCCTTTGAGTGGGGTCTTGAAGAATCAGTAGAACATTAAAATACACTCTTGCTCCACAACTAACAACGACAAAACAACAATAGAAATGGTAATGGCTAACACTTACAAAATGCTCATATAATGCTATTATGGTCAAACCTTATAACTAAGAGCTTTACATACATACTAAATTGTGTAATAATTCACAATAACCCTTAGGTAGATATTATTATCCCCATTTTATAGATGAGTAAACTGAGGTACAGAGAAGTTAAGTAATTCCTTAAAGAATTACAGCCAATAAGTGTTCATATAGGGATACAGAAGAAGTGTAATAGAAGATTATTGGAAGCAGACTCAAAGCTTTTTAGGGAAATTGGGAAATGACTGTTGAATAGGCAGAGCATCAGGCCAAAAGACCAGGGTTCGCATCCAGGCTCCACTGCCTATGACCCAGGTGGCTACTCAGGTGCTTTTGGGAAAATACTTACACTTTCTGAGCCTCAGCTTCCTTGGAGGAGTCAGTGTGGTCCCAGGTGTCCGGCAGCAACATCCAGGAATAGTGACATTGCAATATCTAGAAAGCTGGGTCTGCATTCATTCTATTGCTCAGGGCATTCATTGAACACCTGTTGTGGGCCATATACCAGGTTAAGTACAATGGGGAGGAAGATAAATGAGACCAAATCCTTCCTCTTATGAGAAATGTAATGTTGTAGGGAATGCTTTTAAGTATTAATCTGTGGGTTTGCTCCCAGATCCTGGGATCACTGTATCCTCTCCATTGGACCTGAAGGGTCTCTCCTCTCCCCTACTCCCCAGGCTGCACATGGAGGTATAAGTTATCCTCTGCAGAATATAAAACAGAGGTCACTGTGAACATGGCCAAATGCAAAAGGAATCAGATGCACAGCAGCAGAGCTAGATTTTCTGGCTACAGAGACCACATAAGGGTCATTAGCCTGTTTATAGCTCAAGGGAAGTATCGAGGAAAACAGGACCTGCCGGAGACATGATGCCTGTTCCCATAATCATAAAAGAAGAAGTTCCCACAATAAGTTCCTTCACAAGGTGCAATCATCACACCAGGGCCAGAATAAGGACACAAGTCACTCCCAAAACCAATCAACAAGGTACCTTGGAGGTCAGGACTCAAGCAGAAATAACTGAGTGGAGGTGGATATCGGTCGTCATCTGACAGCAAGAGGCCGTGAAAACTTGTCCAACCTCACAAGGAGCTTTCTCGACTAGTGGGTTCAGAATGGCTCCCAACAGAAATCGCATGGAATGATCACGATCTGATTGAAAAGTCTCAACATCTGACTAAGGTGGGACCAGAAGGAGTTAGCTTGAAATTGCCTCATTTCAATATCTGGGGTCAGAGAAATGAGGGCATGGGAGATGTGCTTGCAGAATGGAACCTGCCTAGTGTCCTATGTCACAAAGGAGAATGAGGCCGATTCTACCAGTAGAGACAATCAGCTGGAGGCAGGAAAGCTTTTATAAATTAGTTCACCTTTCAACTTAGTCCTGGTCCCACTCAACATACCATTGGGTAGAGGGATGGTCAAGATTGAAGGGCTAGGTAAACAGGAAGTAACAAGATGGAAACATGACTTGGCATAGAAAACACTCCTCAGATCTGGGCCAGGATGGAAGTGGAGGGAGAGGGGCTCATGTCAGGGATATTCTTAGCTCTGGTGTCAGGATGAAGTCACAGTTGGGGCTCAGGGGACTCCAGGGGGAAAGCCTGGAGAGAGAGGCAGGGTCTGAAATCTGGGCAGCACTGGATACATAAAAATGGATGTAAAGCATTTGCATTTTGATCCCAAAGCCAACTGACTAAGCTCAAGACGAAAGAAATATAGGTGAGGAGAAGTTTACATGAAAAAGATTTAAAAGTAAGAGATGACTACAAGCTCTGTAGAAGCCAGTCCTAAATTAAACCTAGATTTGTTACAGTTATCCCAAATGCATCACAGCCAGATGTACAGTCAGGATTTCATGGAGGTTGGTAGAAGAAATAGGAAACTAAAGATGCATGGACCAGTGAGTGGCCCAATGAAAAGCACCCAGATTATGAGTCATACAAACACAGGTTCAAAGCCTGACGGGGATGTTTAGAAGCTGTGTAAACTTAGGTGAGCTACTTTGTTTCTCTAAGCCATAGTCTCCCCAACCAGAAAGGTTATTTGGAAGATTGGGGGAAAAAACAGATGTAAAGCAACTGATAGAATGCCGGGCACAAAATAGGTGGCTCAAAATAAAATGGTCTTTAATGTTAATTAAGGTGATGATGATAATAATAATGGAGGTGGTGGTAGTGATGGTGATGATGGTGGTGGTGGTGGTGATGATGATGGTGATGATGGTAGTGATGATGATGATGATGATGATGGTGACGATGATGGAGGTGGTAGTGGAGGTAGTGGTGGTGGTGATGCTGATGGAGGCAGTGGTGGTGATGGTAAGTAATGATGACAAATAAGATTTTAATGTTGTCCTTTAATTAAGCCAGGCAGTGATGACACTTTCTCATCACACCCCATAGATCTTGGATACTCTTAAGACCTTGAGAGGTGAAGAATAAGAATCCAGGTGGAAAGTAAAAGAAACTGAATAGCAGTGGGCTTCCGAGAAGGCACACGTGTTGTTTCATAGCCAGCAGAAGCTGGAACCGGGGATGGACAATAACAACAGCTGTCATCCGCTGGGCCCTCACTATGGGAAGCAAGGCACTAGATCCTTCAACATTCTTGATCCTGATTCGCCTCACAGCAGTGCTCCCAACGGAGGGAATAGCCCTTGAAATGGCCGTGAGAGGGAGGAGTTGGAGGCTGGTAGAGGACAGCAAGGAGGGGAGCAGGATGAGACAAAGCTGAATAGAGGAAACAAACCAATACCTAGAAAGCACCTAAAACAGCACCTAGTGTGTAGTAAGCGCTCAGTGAACTCAGACTCTGTATCATCACTGCCATCATAAAAGAGTCAGGGGTTATACCAAGACAGGAGAGGTGTGCTGTAGGAGGGAAGGAGCTCTCTGCCACTGGAGCATGCAAACAGCGGTCATCAGGGACTTTCAGGGGACTGCAGAAGATCAGACTGTAGCATTGGGTCGAGGCAGGGCTTGGATCCACAGGGTCTGGGAATCATTTCAATCATTATTGCCTGGAATTCCCTAGAAGTGAACTGAGAAGAAAGGATCTCAGCAGACATGGAGATATTTGGGGTGCCCTGAAAGCCTTCCTTGCAAGTACACCTCATTTCCGCCACACATCCCAGTGTCACCTTCTGCCTGGGCCACAGGTAAGTTCTACCAGAGATGCCGAGCCCAACCCTGAGCATAAATGCCCCAGATAAGCAGACTTTGTCTCTATGCCTTAATCCCGTTTGAACTTGTCCTGCCTTCTTTGTTCTCCCATTTTAATGATTCCATTCTCTCCACCAGCCCCCCTCGACAGCCACCATGGATCAACCCCCACGGCAGGGAGCCCTTTAATTGGCAGAAACGTTGCCAACACTCAGCTGTGCGGGCGGAGAGGCATTTAGTGGTGTTTGTTCTGTATGGGGGGGAAAGAGGGAGTTCTTCAAAACCAAGTAGCTCCAGTAGCTTGTTCAACATGATTTCAAGGTGATAAATTGGACCTGATTTTTTTTTTGTCATTTTTTCCCCTGCCGGTTCTTCTGACAAGTGGCCACTGCTGAGCTTGCTGGAGGAGACAGAATTACTTTCACTGGCAGCTCGTGCCTTCCCGCTGTCTCGCTTCCTCTCCTCCCTCCCTTCTTCCGGGAGCTAACATCACCCACCAGGAGGCCAGCCCCAGGGTGGGGCCCAGCAGACCCAGGACTGCATCTCTGAGTATCCAGGGCCAGGGCTGCTGAGTTCTGGAAAGGAAGATCTGGAAAGCATGGCTGTGGGACCTTGGGGATGGGGCCCTGAATCTCAGGCTCTGGACACCCTCTCTCGCAACCCCCCCCCCCCGCCTTCACTTCTCACATGGTTCATTCATTCCAATAGCATTTACTGAGTCCCTACTATATACTGTACTAGGAATACATAAACAAACAAGACTGAAAATTTCCTGCCCTTGTGGAAAAGAGGGGAGACACGGGCAATAAACTATACATATACCAGATTAGGAAGTTATATATATTCAGAGGGTGTTGGGTGTTATGAAAAAGTAAATAAAACTAAGCAGAGGAGGGAGGGGTCATTGAGGATGTGGGGTGGGAAGAGGGAGATTACAGTTTTCAATAAGGTGAATGAGATAGCTTTTCCTCAAACAGTGACGTCAGAGCAAAGCCCTGAATGCACTCATTCTCTCCACCACTCCTTCATTCACTCACACCCTCATCCCTCCATCCAAACATTCATTCATTTAATCACTAAGTAACCAACCATGCATTCCACCTTCAATGATCCATCTATTCGCTGATTCTCTCACTCTCCATTTGCCTGCTCACTCGTATTCGTTCATACATTCATTCACACTCTCACTCACTCATCAATGTCTCAGGCATTGAGTTCTTTTCACTTCCATCTTCAAATATGCCTCATGCCCTCTCTCTACTGGACCTTTGCATTTATTGAGCACATAGCCCGAGATGTTACTTCTTCTTGTCTCCATCTGCAGTGCTTGGCTAGAATCATTCCCTCTGGGAAGCATCTCCGACCTGCCGTCTAGGTTAAGGATGCTCCAGCTCCTGTTTTTGTCTCTCACAACATTGTTCCAGCAGCTTATTTCTTAGCTGGATGCCCTCACAGGACCATGAGCTCCTTGAATTTTGGGATAGTGTCTTATTCCTACACCTGGCATCCTGGCTTGGCACGCACTCGATGTTCAGTAAATACTTGTTAAGTCAATCGTCAAGAGCAGTCCGTGCAAAGAATCAGAAGGAGAATCATTGACCAACCAGAGACATAAACCACAAGGAAGGTGACAAGGGCATCTGTGCTGAGCTCATTTGTCTATGCTTCATGGGCTGTACAGGTCTGAGTAAGCCCCACACTGACCCTATGAGGAAGGTGTTTTTAATTTCACTTCCTAGATAAGGACAAGGAAGCTCAAAGGGCTCAGATGCCTTGCCAAAGATCCTACAAGCAATAGATGGTCCCACTAGAATCCACCCCCAAGTCTGTCTGTCCCCACAAGCTTCCCTCTTGCCACACCCCTGAGCTGTCTCCCTCAAGACAAGTGAAGGCCATCTGGCCATTTGGAGAATGAGCCTAGAGCTCTGGGGCCACGTCCATGGGGTCCTGCACCCCCACCTTAACTATCTGCTGCTGGCAAATAAGATTATTTTCCTGATTCTGCATTTAAACGGGCCCAGACCTCCCCAAGACCACAGAGCCCTGGCCTCAGACCTTTTAACTGGTAATTACTCTGCAGCCACAGTGTGAGATCATCCATTAACCTGAGGCCAGAGTGCGCCCTGCTAATCAGCCAGCTCAGATTCCATCAAGCAGCTGGGCTGATTGCAGACCTTAATCATGGAGGGACGGGCACAATCAGACTGTCCAGCCCTCCTCCAAGCCCACGGGGGAAAGAAAGTTTTATTACAGAGGGGCTGACATTTGGCAGCCTCTGTGAGGAGAGGTTGCCATAGGCCATGTCTCA